TTTTATTGTGTGTGTATATATATATATATATATATATATATATATATATATATATATATATATATATAAATAATTTACAAATAATACAAATTCATAATATTCATTTATTCATTTAAAATGCTGTATGTACATATGATTGTAATGGTTAAAAATCTGAAATACATAAACTATGAATGTAATTCCTAATGTGCATTGTAAGCATACTGTACACCATAAGTGAAAACCTTTGTGTGTTGATCTAACCTGTCATCCATCGCGAGGGTGTATTCCTGACACGGTGGTGGATTAACCGGAGGAGGAGGAGGCAACAGTTCAGTCCAATTCATTGGGTTCTGTTTGATCTGTTTAGTTGATCGCCCACCTTTCTTCTGTCCTTGACTTCCTGTAAAGCAAAAATAAAAAAATAAAAAATACACATTCAGTGTGATACAAACAGTGCTATATTAACTCCCAGGCCACAATGCCATCTGAACTTATAAATTAATTTGATTGCAAACTAAAATGCTTTAAGTTCTGGTTCATTTCTTTTTCTGTTAGTTTGTTTGCGAGCTTGATGCATGTGTGAAACAAATGGCACTTTTACACTCAGGAGAAGCAACATTAATGACACCCACAACATAATTTATGCGGTGTAAAACGCTTATGCGCATTATCTCTCTATTTGTAATTAACGTTGCGCTCTCCATCAAAAAATGAGTCATTTTTCAAAACTAACACTCTTCATTGCCCAGAGGAGAGGTAGAGAGAGAGAGCATTAACAAGAGAAACATTGGAGGCCAATTAACAGAAAGGAATTAAAATTCAGAGCCAATGAGCTGTGAGGACCTCCACGCACTCAGACCTTCTCTTTAATTACCTGAACTTCAAATACAATATAAAAATAGATACGATGCATTACGCCGGCAGCCTTGCATACACCGCAGAATGGGCCTCATTTATCTTTGTCCCGCAACAAACACCGGCTTTCTGACAACATTATCCCCCCTTTCTTTGAGTCGGATGGATGAACGCCGGAGTAATTAATGACGGTGTGGCGAATTGCAAAAAAGGGAGGGGGATATCCTCCAAATCAGACACATCCCGGGAAAATGCGGCAGACCTTAGAAATCTGCAGGGAACATGGTTTTAACGAAAGGAATTAGGACTGAGAGAGAGATTGTTTCTGCCGTTTAAGATATGCACTCGTGCACCTCAGAAATCGTGAGGAAGAATCGCCTCCTTTTGTTCGGACGCAAATGTTTCTCTTTGTCCCCCGGAGTTTCTCAACAATGAGTGAGCGATTTGTAAATGTCCTGTTTTGCATATTATTTACTGCCTCTTGAAGTGATGAAAAGGCTCTGAAATAATGGAAATGAGAAGAAAACTGAATAATGCGATAAATTGCAGGCTAACCGTTTAGGAGGTTATGTCTGCAGGTTTTAATGACAACTTGGTTGGTTGGTTGGTTGGTTGGTTGGATGGATGGATGGATGAACAACAGAACTTTGGATGGATGCATGAACAACAAAACATTGCATGGATGGATGGATGGATGAACAACAGAACTTTAGATGGATGGATGGATGAACAACAAAACATTGGATGGATGGATGATGGATGAATGAATGAATGCATGAAGATAGATAGATAGATAGATAGATAGATAGATAGATAGATAGATAGATAGATAGATAGATAGATAGATAGATAGATAGATAGATAGTGGATTGATGGATGTCTTACCAGAAGTGCTGCTCCCCCTGTCGGAGCTGCTGTAGGTTCCTCCTGTGAGGACGTCCTGGGCCTGGTTATAGGGGATGGTGCCTGAGACGGGCCCCTCACCTCGATAGTGGTCTAAGCGATTGCAGTCAAGAGATTTTGAGCTTTAGTTTTTATTATACATACTGGTAAGGCATTATGATCCAGTCCTTTCATTTAGAGTAAATGAAAAAAATATTTTGTGAACTAGACAAATGAAAGCTCTTATAAAATGCATACACTTCAATGCAGAACGCTTCAGAGTGGAACATCAGACAGTCGAGTGGTAAAAGGTTACAAAAGGGTTTCAGTCATAAGCTGTTATGACTTGTTGGTGACTGGTTTCAATTGTCTACCAAGTGTGAAATATCACACCCACACGCAGTTAGATTCATGCAAGTTGAGTCAAAAAGCAAACACAATGACCTTTTTAGTGGCACAATATGAAGCAGCAGATAATGGATAGCTTTGAGTTTGAGTTACATTCCCCCTTATTTGTATAGTAATCTAAGATCTCTGGCTTCACATTGTTCTGAGACATCCGACACTTTACAGTCTACTCTTTACCTTCATCCCCATCCAAACAGTAAAACAACAGCTATAAATATGGATTAAGTTTACTAGCAGAGCACAGAGTTGAATTACACATACACGCAATATGAGCAACCGTGACGGATAAAAAAGGGGTTAGAAAGTGAAAAAGCCACATGTAAAGGTGCCAGGGAGGCTATTAGGAATCACAGTCGTGTAACGCTTTTATTGTGGTCTGAATATGAGGAGACAATAGAGCAACAAGAAAAGAAGAGCAGCAATTCGATGACGCACCTTTGTGGTAAACCGAGAAAAACATGGCATGGGTTTCTTTGAAGAGCTTGAGCTAGTGTTTAAAATCAAATTCAAATAAATCTGCCTTAAATTTTTGGGGACCGCAAGGAAATCCACAAAACTCACCCTTGTTCAATTTGTTTTGCTCCATGACGTTATACTGCAGTGGCGTGTTGATGTCAGCCTGTTTTTGAGGCGTTCCCTGGCTGCTCTTCCAGCTCAGCTTCTCATTAATGTCAGCACTTCCTCCTCCACTTCCGCCGCTGCTGCTGTTCACGTTGTTGTTGGCCAGGCTGGACTGGATGAGCTGGGTGGTGGCGTAGGGCGTAGGTTGACCACCAAGACCCACAAAACGGCCATCCTTTAGGTTGGGGCTGTTGAAGGTCTTCATCTCGTTGATCTTGTTGGAGAGGTCCACGTCACTGTAAAGGCCCGTGTCGGGAGCCAGAAGGTTGCTGGCCTTGTTGTCCATCTGGTTGCTGTAGTTGGCGATGCAGTCGGCTGGATGATAGAAGAGGAGTAAGACATTTTGATAGCCAAAAGACTGTTTGGGATCTAAGGATAAACCTGGATTCTGATATGTTGTAGATATTTATGTACTGATCAGACTGAAGTGCTTTTAAAATAAGGGGACATTTACAGAAACTCATGGAGAGAAGACACTGAAAGAACACTTGAAACCAGAAATTTCAAAGATAACGTTGAATACTCAAAATACATATATCAAGATAACACACGTTTCATCAGAATCTCTGACACTGTCCTCCTCCATCTCCCTCGTCCTCGACACAAGCTAAGCGTGTCACTTTGAGTTTCCCGAGCAGCCACGAGAAAGGCATCCCAGCTCATCAAGCAGGATGTTCCAACACGTCCGAATCAAAAGCCTCTGAAACGAGGAACGCTGTAAAAGACCATCCTCTGACAGATCCAATTTTCCCCAGTTCATAAAATATTCAAATCCTCGCCGGGATCTGAGCGAGAAGCTTGGCGTGTAAATACCGCGGCCTGCCATTGGACGGATTTCGAGCGTGGCTCTTGTTTCCACAAGAAGAAACGGCTCTGCACTTCAAAGGTTGACGTATCAATGATAAAAGATCCCATGGAATGAGACAAACTAAGTCGTCTTTCCAGAGAAGCCCTGTGGGTACTGATCCGGTTAATATCCTGGAGATTTTTTAGTATTTGGCACACCAGGCAAGCAGGTGTCAAGCTTTTAAAACGTCATGCTGTGAGAATCACTCAACATTTATCCTTCATTCCTGCTTTGATGAAGGCGACAGGGATAAAATCTAGTGTTAGTGAAAACACACTCCCAATAAATGGATATCAAAGGCAAAGCCAAGCTTTTTGGGTTAAAAAAGCTCCATCTACGGTTTCTGTGGATGGTCTGAACAAACAAAGCCTAATCCTCAGGCCTATCCATGAATATGGTAGCTAATTTCTTAAATTCAATAGAAAGACATTTTTCTGAAAGGATTGGATGCATTTAAGGGTTCTGTTATGAATGAAATACTCTTAGCCAACGGCTTAGTCGCACCAGCTGATAGCGGAGAACAAAAAAGCTCTTGTAGTGACATTTAAATATCATTAAATGAACCAACAGTGACACCGCTGTCCAAACTAAGAGTTGCTTTGTGAAAACTGGGTAACTCTGTAGATTAACGCCGCTTTGTCACTTTCAGTGTGTGTCTCTTTGGACTCGCGAGTCAACCTGGTCTTCTTTTGTTTGTAAAGTAACTTGCTGACTCCTGAAATAAAGCCACCTGGAGGTGCTCCATCACTCCTTCTCTTTCCTCGCCCTCTCTATTTCTCTCTCAGGTCTATTTTGACCTCTGTAACGGCTCCTGATTTCCTGAATAAGCAAGAAACTGCATTAAAAGGTTCTAACGGCGGTATGGAAATCAGACGGCTGATTGGAATAGCTGGACTACAGCCTGCGGGGCCTTTTCAATATCGGCCGCTTTTATTTTCCCTAAAACGTCCAGGTTCCAACAAATCACACACGCAGTTGTGTGTCAAAGGAAGGACACGATACTTGAGTTGCGTTCCATTCTACTTGGAAAGTTGGAATTTCCAACTTGGATAGGTTTACTAGAACGTACTGCTTCCAAGTTGGAAACTTCAGTGGAAATGAACAAACCCAAACTTCAACGATTAACGATAAAAATTTTGTTGCACAAACAATGTGGTATAAGGGGGAAATCTGAACCGTTAATGGCAAACGATTGCTTTAAATTAATTTAAACAAGTCCTTGAGTCACAGTTAATATAATAAAGCCTGTTGTTCTAGTCGTTAGCAAGTCTTTTCCTCATCTGTGACCCTGGAGCACAAAACCAGTCTTAAGTCGCAAAGTTGCAATAGCCAAAAAAACATTGTATGGGTCATTATTATCGATTTTCTTTAATGCCAAAAATCATTAGGATATTAATTAAAGATCATGTTCCATGAAGATATTTTGTCAATTTCCTACCGTAAATATATCAAACCTTATTTTTTGATTAGTAATATGCATTGGTAAGGACTTCATTTGAACAACTTTAAAGGCGATTTTCTCAATATTTAGATTTTTTTGCACCCTCAGATTGCAGATTTTCAAATAGTTGTATCTCGGCCAAATATTGTCCTAACAAACCATACATCAATGGAAAGCTTATTTATTCAGCGTTCAGATGATGTATAAATCTCAATTTCAAAAAATTGACCCTTATGACTGGTTTTGTGCCCCAGGGTCACATTTAAGTAACAAACTCATCCAGAAGTAGTATTTCCTTATTTGTCGCTTTGGATAAAAAATTTAAAAAAAGCTTGCTAAATGAATAAATGCAAAAAACTTGAAATAATCTCTATTTATAATTGTAATTTTTTCCACTTTGATTCGAGCATAGCATCATGCCTCTGTACACTAACAGCTAGACTCCTACCCACACTCGCTCACACGCTCACCTGGGCGGCTGTAGGTGGCCAGGTTGCTGTCACTGTTTCCGTTGCTGCCGGTGCAGCAGTTGATGGGGCAGTCGTTGTGATTGGAGCAGCTGTTCGGCCATGTGTCTGCAAGCCAGGGCTGGGTAGCTGGTTCACCTATGTTCAACAAGCCTGGCCTGGAAAACATGGACACATGGTGATTTATTACTAACGTTAACTTGGAAGTGGTACATGCACACTGTATGATCATGATCAGTAGTGTTAAATGCTGTTTCTATTAACAGCATTCTAGCCTGACACAGCATCATCGGAACAACCATTGGTGTGAGTTTTGGGGCAGGGTTAACAGTTTGACCAATGGCACGCCGAGGGAAGACTATTCTGTTTGGTGGCACAGAAATGTCCCGTTTCAGCTTTAAACAGGAAGCCTATCCCATCTCCTTGTATCCCAGTGCATCTCTCAGTGCATTAGGCTGTATCTGTGCTAAATGGATTGCATTTGCTTGACTTGCTCATGGCTGATGACACTGTTTCCCTGAGGCCTCGTGGCCGTTAGATCTCCGTGTGGATTACCCAAGTGCTGGAGAACATTGCTGCTCCAGCCATCGCTAAAGGAAGAGCTTGGAGCTCCCAGCGCATGCCAGGGTGTCACAGTCAATCAACGTGATCTCAAGAGCTGGAGAAGCTCTGAATAAACGCATATAAGAATTCATCCAGCGCCCATAGTAACCGTTTCTATCAAATCTTGCAGTTAAAGTCATTTTTATTTCAAAACACTGATTTATGTTTGATAGTTAGCTTTCATGATAAAACAAGGTCACTTTAAAATGCTTCCAAGGAAATAAAGGAGATGAGGGAAGTTTTTTTCAGGGACGCTTATCAAAGACACAAAACGAGCATCAAAGAAAGAGTTTTGTGCAATGAATCTTCAACGTGATGCTTCAAAGTAAACGTGGCTTCCTCTTGTCTTCGTTCGTTCCATATCCCTGCAGCATGGTATGTCTCTTTCTTTTATTTTTCTAACAGACTCTTTAGCTTCAAAAGGCTTAAAGGCAAGGGCAAAGACCTGCTTGATTAAAAGCTGGACTCCAAAAAAAGACACACACTAAGCATCGTCTGCAACTATTTGAACGAGGTGCACAAATGCACACGGTGAAATGAACTGGTTGGAAATGATTGCATTAGCAGGGTTTCAAATCTAACATTAGAGGGCTTTTGTCTCATCTGGGTTCTGCAGGGCTCCGTCTCGCTGCACAACCTCCAAAAATGTCTTTGCAAAGACAAAAATGCCCCCTAGTGTCAATAAAACGCAATTACACTACAGTACACACCCTTCACACGGACATTGTTGGCTTCTGATAAATATTAACTTCAAGGTTTTAAGGTGTCGGATCACAAAATGTGTGTTTTTTTAAACATCTCACCTTCCAGCACTGCTGACGGCCTCTCCTCCTCTCTGATAGGCCACTGTAGATAAAAGAAGTTACATTAATGAGAACAAATAACATGGAAAACCTGTAATGAAATAAATGTCTTGCTGTCAAAGGGCAAAGAAAATGTCCGCAGAAGAAACTAATTCATACAGTTTAAGAATGATGGCAGATTTTGGATTTCTGGGTGAGCTATCTCTTTAACAGGCTCATCCAAGCATATTTTGTTGGCCTTGTATTTTCTTTCATATCTTACAAGCTCCTGCATTTCGTGGAAATAAAGCTTGTTTGGTTTGCTACTAAAAACAAGCCTTCTCTTTCTCAATCCATCCCTCCCCTCTCATCTGTTTGATAAAAACCTCCCAAAACCAGGTGAGTCAACAGCGGTTACAGAAAGATTGCACGAGATGAGAAATAATGAAAGGGTCTAAGCGTCTTTCTCTGGTATGTAAGTCATCTGAGTTCAGTCCTCATGCTAGCCGGCTCCTCTCTTCGTCTAATTGGTCATGAGACTTCTGATGTCACAGCTTCCCATCCGGTCTGAAGCGTTAGGGTGGGCCGCTCTGCCGGTTCTAACAGCCCTCTTTAGTCAAGCACGCATTTCCTCCCTCTCTGTCTTTTATGTTTTTTGACTTCTTTTTATGCTGACAAGTCCATGCGACTGAAGTTCTCTTTGATGATCCATGTAAACTCAGACTGGGGTTCTTTTCTTGTGGGGAGATGTATTTTTAAAGAGAGGCCGTGCCTCCCACGCTTCGCCTGTGTCATATTTGTTTGGAGTTCTGCTGTGCAGAACGAACGTGACTGAAGGGAGTGTTGAGGGACACTTCATTACAACGGCTGAGAAACATTATACTGCTGTGCGCTTTCCAACTCCAGCAGGCAGGAAGTCGTCACACTCTAGGGATTGTGGGAATTCTGGGCATATGTGCTGTGAGGAAGGTGTGATTACCTGTGGGGGTGAAGGTGAAGGAGGGCACTGCAGACACACAGAGCAAAGAGGAAAAAAAGAGCACATTAATTATTCATCAGATTCTAATTATTATTCAAAAATTAATTATTCATCGTAGCAGCACTGTGCATTAAACTTAAATATTTATGCAGTTATTGGAAAAAGTTTTCAAAAAGGCACTTGTGATTATATTTTACAGTCTCTGATGTAACGAGTCTGTTACCAATTACTCAGAACATTGAAACCTCATCACAAATACACAGTTCATTTCATTCTCCTTGTCATCTGAACTCTGTGGTTTTACAGTTGTGGGCTTGTGTGTCTGATTAACTGTATATATATATCAGAGACAAGAGGAAAATATTGACATCTAAAGTTTCTGAAGAAAATGGCACCACAATGCTTGGATTTTGTAGATGATTGCTATGTTGATATGCAGTTGCTAGGGTGTTCTGGGAGGTTGTTAACTGGCCCAAGTAAAAAAAAAAAAAAAAGAGCTCACTTTACTATATTCTGGTCCCTATATGTGGCTTAATTATAAATTGAAATAATTTCCCCTCTATTTTATCTATTTTTATCATACACTAAATAAAAGATCTACTGATACTTGCCACAAAATCTCCACTAAATTAGTCATTTACATATTTAAACATTATAATAAATCATAATATTTAATATTGTATCACACTATACATAAAAATAATATAATTTTAGTAATAATACATGTATATTAATATAATCAAATATAAAACAAACAAATAATAATAATAATAATAATAATGTATTTTAAATTAATATGATTAAACAAACATATTTATATTAATATAATTAAAATAATAATAATAATCATGTATTTTAAATCAATAGAATCAAATAAAATAAACATTTACATTAATAATTAAATATAATAATAATTATTATTATATAATTTTAATAATAATAAATGTATATTAATATAATCAAATATAAAACAAACAAATAATAATAAGAATAATGTATTTTAAATTAATATGATTAAACAAACATATTTATATGAATATAATAATAATAATAATAATGTATTTTAAATTAATATGATTAAAAATAAACATATTTATATTAATATATTTATATTAATATAATTAAAATAATAATAATAATCATGTATTTTAAATCAATAGAATCAAATAAAATAAACATTTACATTAATAATTAAATATAATAATAATTATTATTATATAATTTTAATAATAATAAATGTATATTAATATAATCAAATATAAAACAAACAAATAATAATAAGAATAATGTATTTTAAATTAATATGATTAAACAAACATATTTATATGAATATAATAATAATAATAATAATGTATTTTAAATTAATATGATTAAAAATAAACATATTTATATTAATATAATAATAATAATAATAATAATAATGTATTTTAAATTAATATAATCAAATCAAATAAACATTTACATTAATAATTAAATATAATAATAATAATAATAATTATTATTATTATTATTATTAGACACCCAAACATGTGACATGTGAATTCGAAGAATTCAGCTGCATTCTAACTGTGTACTTTATTAATTTTGACTTAAATCTATTATAATAAATCATAATATTTAATATTATATTGTATTATTATACATACAAAATATAATTTTTATTAATAATAAATGTATGTTAATATAATCAAATATAACAAACAAATAAAAAATAATAATAATGTATTTTAAATTAGTATAATTAAAATAAACATATTTACATTATTAACATAAATAATAATAATGATAATATACCCAATCATGTGACATGTGAATAGTAAGAATTCGTGCCAGGCTGCAGTCTAACAGTGTACTTTATTAACTTCGACTTAAATCTATTATAACATATGCCCTCGGTCTGATGTGAAATCTAGTTTCTTTCATGTTGATCAAAGGCTCCAATAAGCAGATGAACACGGCTGAATGGCGATATGGGATCAGAATTCATAATAAACAGCCCATCAGAAACATCAAAGTATCTGTGCAGGAAGCTGCTGCGTGTGATGCCGTCAGGATTGTTTTCTGGCAGTGTTACACCGATACATCAGAATGTCTTCACCTTCTCATCTTCACGTATTTACGGGAAAACAACCTTTAAAATTGTCAGCCACTGCCGTCCTTTTCAAATGTCACGTTTATCGGCTGCGCTCGTCTGCTTCTTGGCAGTGCTTTGAGTAAAGATGAGTCTAATAGATTGGGCCGTTTTTTGATGATTTTATCCTGTATGCATGAAGGCTTTGAAGCAGAAGTAGATTGATGCTTGGCAGGCCAAATGCAGCATGGGAAAAAGATCATTTGATGGACGATAAATAAATCAGATCTCAGGAGTCTGGGGATGATCAGTGTTTTTAAACAATTTAACACACATTCACAGCTAAACGCACATGTACATCACACACACACACTCTCCCCATCACCCCGTTCCACCCGGAGAGCAGATTAACACTTCATGTGTTTACTATTATCCACCTCTGCTCAAACACGTTCACGCTCAAGAGACTCGCAGCTACCGGTTCAAACATGGCAACCTGTGTTTCACAGTAATACAGGTCTTTAGTAGCTCAACAGATGCTAAAACCAATGAAAATTGTCTCACTTGCTTGCAGGCACAAAAAGGCACTACGTTTCTATGTACCTTCTGGGCTATAACATTTTACCATCATGCATAAATTAGGGCTCAATCAAGATTTCTTTCCTGCTTGATGCGTACTGAAAAAAAATTAATTTATTTTAGTAAAATTTGCATTCTTTAAACTGCAATATATAGTTTATATAGTTATATTATATATAGCATATATTCTATATATGTAGTTTAATAAGTAACTTTACGTTGTAATATGAAAATCTAAAATAAAAATTTATATATTTAATATTTTATTTATTTTATACTAACTTTAAAACTTTAAAATACCTTGTGTACTGAAAATACATTTTATTTTAGTAAAACTTGCATTCTTTAAAGTGCAATATATAGTTTATTGTGTGTGTGTTTATGTATGTATATATATATATATATATATATATTCTAAAATATCTTAATTTTAATTTAATTTTATACTAACATTAAAATACCTATTATTTATAACATAATTTAGTAGGTTTTTAATTTGCAATAATAAATTAATTAGCACATTACTGCTAGAAAACGATGGCATACAGTAATTTGTTTGTCAACCTTTATAACTGAAGCTTCCAAGACAAGATAACTTGGTTATAACTAGACTAGGAGACGACCAGACTGCACATATCCGCATGCTAAGCTTAATGCTGAGCCCTGCAAACCGTTTTTGTTGCGTGTTTTTCTTTATATATACACGAGTCCCAAAGCCTTAGAAATGGCTTTATAATCCTTTCCAGACTGATACATTTCAACTGTTTTGTTTCTCATCTGTCCCTGAATTTCTTTCGATCGTGGCATGATGTGTTGCTCTTTATTTTCACACCACTGTACATATATATATATATATATATATATATATAATTCCACTAACATTTAGAAAGAATGTCTCTTCAAAAGCTACCTGTCAGTCTTGTGCGGTTGTTGAAACAAGATGTTGTCGAGTCATCCTGGTAAATGAATTCAGGTGCTCTCAACCTTGAAAAATGGACATATTCATTTGGGCTTTTTTGTGCTCTTGTGGTCGACACGTTCAATTAACTTGAATGCGGCCCAGCCTTGGGAGTCTATGAATGTGAACGCTAATGAATGGCTTGGATCTTTTCCTTTAGATTCCTGCCAATAAACATTCCATTAGCTTCATGTCCTTGAGACACGCATCAGGGAAAAAAACGTCATTGTTCCATTCGCCATCTCAGTCATCTCTTCAATGAAAGAGAAAACGGAAAGAAAGCAAAAGCTGCTCTTAATTCAGACTGTAAAGGATCAGCCACGATTCATCAGGGTCAAGAGAGGAAACGGCTTTTTGAAAACAAAATATGAATTATGTGGCTGTGGATAGGGCTTATCTAATTTAGGAAAAGTATTCTCATACCAGCTTTAATAAAAGAGACTGATGTTTGGGATTAAACCTGAGATTACAAAGCCAAACATTAAACCAGCGAAAGAAAGAAAGAATAGTTGATAACGTAACGATTAAACATCTCCCTCTGACTAACACAAACTCAATATTAAAAGATCAGCTGGAATGTTTCTGCTTTAGATGAGACACAGGCCACGCCTCCTTAATGAAAGCTCAGGGATTCATAATGATTAGGTTGGAGTGACTAACCTCCTACTGATGTTATATTTTATGCGTTTTGAAATCATTATATGTGAAGACACTGTAAAATCAGTGGTGTAGCACCAGCGCTAAAGAGAAATGAAGTTCAAGCTGGCTGGGCTGACCTTTGCGGATGCCGGCGTAGCTGCTGCTGAGGCCGTTCCTCTTCTTACGGTGGCGGTACAGCCAGATGCTGAAGACCATGAGGATGATCCAGCAGGCCGCGCCGAGGCCCGCGATGAAGGCCGGCTGACGCACCACGTCTGAGATCTGCTGGGAAATTGTATTGTCATCGTCCAGCGGCGGCGGAAGAACACGGCCTGACGAGTCTGAGAGAAAGACATGAGAAATGAGAAAAAATGATTTGATATAGACCATAACACTGATGCAATAATGAAAGAAATATTTCAGGTACAATAAACCTGCGGAATGCTGTCAGTTTCAGAAGAAACGATTTGCACATAATCCAATTGGGTTATGGGAAAAAAAAATGAATTGACAGTTAAAAATCAATAACTATAATAGTAAAGCCAGTTAATATAACAGACAACTAAAAGATAATTGCAAAACAAAAATAATAAAATACAATTTTGCATGTCACAGAACTTGTTTAACACAATATTCCTTTAAATTTGTAAAACTTTTTAATATAATTGTATTTAATAAAATAAGATAATAACTAAATTAATAAATGTATAAATAAAAATAATATAGTATATAAATGTTTTTTGCATGTCACAGAACTTGTTTAATGCAAAACATTCCTTTAAATTTGTAAAAGCGTATACAGAAAATATTTGTAGTTAATAATAATAGTAGTAGTAATAACGACAGCAATAATAATTATTTACACTACCGCTCAAAAGTTTAGGATCAGTAAGACTTTTAAAGAAGTCTCTTATGCTCATCAAGGCTGCATTTATTTGATCAGAAAAGATACTTGCAAAATGTTATTATAATACAAAATAATGGTTTCTATTTTAATATCCTTTAAAATGTAATTTATTTCTGTGATGCAAAGCTGAATTTCCATCAGCCATTACTCCAGTCTAAAGTGTCACATGATCCTTCAGAAATCATTCTAATATGCTGATTTATTATTAGAATTATCAATGTTGGCAACAGTTTTGCTGCCATTTTTTTTTTTTTAGAAAATACTATTAAAATAATATTTTTTTTTCAATACTTTTTTTCAGGATTCTTTGACGAATAAAAAGTTAAAAAGAACAGCATTTATTCAAAATATAAATCTTTTCTAACAATATAAATCTTTGCTATCACCTCATCAATTTAACACATCCTTGCTGAATAAAAGTTT